GGCCTACACAGGGAGAATAATTATTCCTCTTGTGATCACCTTTATGCTCTGATGTAGACCTGGAAATTAAATTTGCCTGTACTGGCCCCTATTATTTAGTCATAAAAGTTTGAAATCACACATGAATATCAATATCCATCGCAATAAGTCTCTACCTCTTTTTAATGATGATCCGCTAAGGCTGACATCAAGATCAATCAGATGGTGTCGTTTTGTCAAGTGCTAACACTTATTCATTGTTTACCAGGCTTATGTATTCTCCCATAATGAAATAACACCATGCCTAAATGTGAGGAAGCTTCTGATTGTAAATAAAACACCTTGTGATTATTTCATATTGTACACAGTTTGAATGTGGACGATTTGCTTTATATTTTCAGAGATGGAAACACAATACTCACAGTGTCTGGAGACAAGACAGCTCGTGTTTTTCCAATCCATGTACCAGATAGGTGAAGTGTTCATAGGCTGGTGATAATGATGATAGCATTTTTCAGTACAAGAAATAATTTTTTTCAATATCATGGAAACATTTAATAACTTTAAAATATAAGGTACAAAATGTTTGAGAAAATTTCTGATACATAATGAATAATAACAACTTTCACATTTTATCATTCATACCAGCCTTCAAATAAATATTTTTAAAAATACAATATTATTAGTGTGATATTTTAAAAATATTATATTTTAATGTTTGCATACAATTTTATAATAAGAGTCAACTAATAAAAAAATGTTTACTGTATCTACAAGGGTGGTTCAATTCAAATTTAGTTAAGGTTGAAATTCATACAAGACTACATACACCAAATTTACAAGAACAATAGAAACAAAGAGAGTGCTGCCAACCCAGGATGACTAAAAGCACATGAATGTGTGCCACTGTTGTTATGTGGCTCTCCCAGGCAGCACTCAAAACACAAAGAATGCAACACAATTATATATGAATTATTATGTCCTTTATTCGAACACTGTATTTACCTTTCTTTGATGATTTATGTATATATATATATATATATATATATATATACATCTCGTTTATAAAAATTATAAATTCTATCGTAAATGATTTTAAAATAAACTAGCAGTGTTGATTAATTGGCTCCTTTTATGTGCTTTAACCAAGTATGTATCTATGTGAGGCTTGAGAAAACATCTGTATAATAATAAATAAATAAATAAATACTACCTTTGAAAATGGTTATGAATAAATATAATTAAAAAAAATGTACCACACCCTAAACTATACAACACCTGAGAAGTGTATACACCCTGTAAAGTATCCCACAACTGTTAAGTGTACAACACATGTTCAGTATACACGGTTGCTTGGATAAATAAAATGTGAAAACACAGCCAAAAAATATGGCTTGAGTTGTAGACATGATATATATACAAAGTAAAATCTGAATATATATATATATATATATATATATATATATATTTTAAAAATATTATATTTTAATGTTTCCATACATTTTATAATAAGAGTCAACTAATAAAAAAAATGTTTACTGTATCTACAAGGGTGGTTCAATTCAAATTTAGTTAAGGTTGAAATTCATACAAGACTACATACACCAAATTTACAAGAACAATAGAAACAAAGAGAGTGCTGCCAACCCAGGATGACTAAAAGCACATGAATGTGTGCCACTGTTGTTATGTGGCTCTCCCAGGCAGCACTCAAAACACAAAGAATGCAACACAATTATATATGAATTATTATGTCCTTTATTCTAACACTATATTTACCTTTCTTTGATGATTTATGTATATATCTAGATGTGTATAAGAGACAGATATATATGTTTATATGAAATTCATTTTTTAATGTATATCAAATACAAATAGGGAAACAATGGTTTAACCAAACAAACAATATCTCATTAAATTCAAAACTTTTAAACCGACCTGTTCATTAATGTATTTTAGTTTTTTTTAAAATGTTTTCTTTATATTTATAACTATAAAATGACTTCCTGCTTTTTTCCATTTGAGACTTAAGTTTGGTTTTTGTAGAGATACATATGAACATATATATACATACACATATATAATGGTTTGGATTATTTTCTACTGATGAAGTTATCGCCTAATTCGGTCTTTGTATTCCTCTTGCTGTTAAATCATTTTACACATAATGATTACATTTTTAAGAAGATTCAGTATCCCACAACTGTTAAGTGTACAACACATGTTCAGTATACACCTTTGCTTGGATAAATAAAATGTCAAAACACAGCCAAAAAATATGGCTTGAGTTGTAGACATGATATATATACAAAGTAAAATCTGAATGCTGTCAAAGTTTGCGAATGGTTGCGAACAATTTGGATTACAACTGTTTACCACCGATTACATCGCAACTGGTCGCAATACAAAATCTGAATGGGGTATTAGCATGTGGACCCAATGACCAGGGAAAAGAACTTTAGCGCTTCGTAACTGAAAGGAAAGGCGCTATTAATCCAATGCTGAAAATGATGTTGCTTCCATTTCATCTGTCAATAGTTACTTATATAGAGACAATTGGAAGAAAAATTAAACGTCTAAGCGTTTATTCTAAATGAACTTTTTTTTGTTCAAAGTGGAGCATTTATTTGAATAAATAATACTGTGTAATTATTGTTTTTTAAAACATGATGGATTACACGGTGTTAGCCCATAAATTAATTATTGTTAGTCTTTTATGCATTTTAAGTTATGACAGTTACTCTTTCAATTGTTTTGTTTCATGTTTTTTAACTGTCTTTGCTAGTTTTTTTTATTTTGTGAAAAATAAATAGAGTCCTCCCT